CAGCTACATGAGAACCCCTTTGTGAAAGGTGAGCAGGATTTGATGTCTAACATTGAGAAAGCTTTTCTCTAGAGCAAGATGGTTAAAGGATAGGTCATTAATAGGCCCTGATTGGCAGGTCTGCTGAGGTGTATCTTTGAGCCTTTCTTAATAAGATCAGCTACCTACACCAGCTCTGATGGTGTCTTGTACCCTTGCAGAAGGAGCTGGGGGTCTGGAGAAAAGCTGCCGAAATGGAGAAAAACACAGGACATCACCCTGATGGCTGTCTACAGGCAACTTGAATTCCAGGAATAACTTCTCCTATAAAAACTGGAGAAAATTAAAAAGAACGAGGTAGAGAGATGTATCAAGATAGACGAAGTAAAGATATCTAGTATGATCCAACAATGTCAAATTCTACTAAAAGTATAGAATTTGCTTTCAGAGGGGCATCAAATATAAACTCTTGAGACTACAGCATGTAGAAGGTACGCTTAGTTATGTGTCCCATCAGCAAAAGGCATCCAGAGGAACAAGCAAGGATGGAGCTACTTCACTGAGCTCAGTTATACCCTATTTGGTAACTGTAAATGATTTCAAAATTAATGATCAGCCGGATGTGCAAAGCAAGTGTGTGAGTGAAGCTGTATAGCAACGGAGACCACTAGGGAAGCCCTGAACTAGAGATGTGTTTCTTTCTGCATTTCTGTCTTTTCACAGCCCAGTCTCTGGCAGGTTCCAAGATCCCTACACCACTAGTTTTGTCTGTTTAAGGGGTGCAGAAATGTTGGTAGAATGAAGAAATGGACTTGTGAGTGATACTCCACACTTGAGGTGTGTTTAGTCATTGACTGTCCCAGTGAGTCCTCGAAGCATGTTAGTGGGCATAGTGGACTATGTATCAATACACTCTGGAGACTCAGAGCCCAGGGTTAGCTTATGCTTGGTGACTTTGCCGGTCAGCTGGGCAGGAGGACTCTCTGGAGTTTATCATGTACTTTATAAACACCAGAGACTAAACAGTATGGCTGAAAGATTGGAGGACCCTGGTACTAGCTGCAAGAATAAAATGGGTGAAAAACCAGGATTGTAGTCAGGGGACGAGACACATCTGAGCTGAGAGTTAGTCTAGGACAACAGGATGAGAAGGGATAAAAATGATACAAACAAGAAGATAATCCCCTTTGTTGAGGAAACCAAAAAAAAAAAAATACCCTTAATGTCAGTATTCAGAAGACAATAGGTCGGTCTCAGACACAGAAGCATCCAGGGCAGCGGCTAAAGCCCACCCGGTGGCTGCATCCTCTCCCACAGGCTCAGCCTTGATCTGTCAATTTCCCAACAGCCAAATCCTCTTATTCTTTGTGGTGGCTTCTATACCATGTCTCTATTGCCTTGTGACTTTTTAAGGACAGGCCCTAAGTAAGTAGTTCCAAACGAGACAGCTTTGGCAGAAATTAAGATCTGGTTTACTGGAGAACCACGGGTTCCTTGTGTAACTGTTTCTCAGCACCACGAGGCTGCAATAAAGGGAAGGTAGAAAGCACAGGCAGGGAAAAGGCTCCTTCTGGTATGCTGAAACAGAAGCCCTGTTCTGGGGGGTGTGGTGGAGGGAAGGATGCTGTGACCTCTTCACGCATGAGCTCATTTGCTCTGTACGGAACTCCCCATTCACAATGGGGGAGGGCGGGAGTGCAATTCATGTCTTGATGTTCTGGAAATTAAACTTCAAAACTCCTTGCCTCTTTCGTTCCTCTTCATTTCACCCTTGTGAGGTAGAAAGTAAAGACTATGACATTCAAAATCAACTGTGTACATTGTATAAATTAGGAAGTCTCCACACATAGCCAGATGTAGGGCAGGCCCCAGAAAGACGTGAAAAGACTTCCCGTTTATACCTCACTGATCCCTGGCACAGGAACTGCCTATCACGCCAGAAAGCAGACCCCAACACGTTTAACAGTAGCCAAACAACTGAGGAGATGGCTCAGCAGGTGAGGTGCCAGATACACAACCAAAGACCGGAGTTTCTATTCTTACCACCCAAGTTAAAGCTGGGTATTGAATCTGAGACCCTGCGCTGGAGAAGAGTCGGGCAGATGCTAAGGGCTTGCTGGCATAAGCTCTGGGATCAGTGAGAAGCCTGTCTCAGAAACCAAGGTGAAAAATGACCGAGGAAGAAGCCTGACCTCTACACACATGCACAGGCATGCGGGCCAGCACACACATACACACACAAATAGATAGCATTGCTAAGATGGACAGGAAGGTGGAAGGTGGAACAAGGGAGTGAATAAGGGGCGGGCAGGAGTGGGGTGAATGTCAGTACAGTCAAATACACAAATGTATGAAATGTCGTAAGGAAAATCATTACTTCCTATGCTTACTAAAAAATGTTTTCTGTTTTAAAAAAGCAATAAAAACAGTTAAGGTGGTGAATTTTAGGTAATGTGAAGTTTAACACAATAATGAAAAGAAGGATGTCTGCATACCTTGTATCTATGAAAATATTGCAGGTTGGTTTACATAACACAAACCAAAAAAATCACAAAAGAGAAAAACTAAACCAAACAGCACTGAAATGAAAAATTGTGCCCCATAATGTGCCAGGGTGTTCAAAGATAAATCATAGACTAAAAGAAAAAATAGTTCATAGAACTGACAGATGATTAGTATTGAGAATATATAAAATTCTACAAATCAAAACAAACATTCAATAAATGCCCTGGGGAAAAAATGACAAAAACATCTGAAGAATTATTTACAGCAAACACTCACCCACAAATACGTGAGGGGCTCAGGCTCACTGCGCATCAGGGCAAGCACAACCCTTACAATTCCCTTGTGGACCCACAAGACAGAGGAAATGAAATCAGGCTCCATTAAGCACTGGTAACTACAGAGACAGCAGGAACTCAGAATAGAGGTAGGAGTATACGTTGGGGCAATCACGTCAGGGCATTCGGCCGTACTCCGTAGGGACTGGGTGTGCCTTGTTCAACATACTTATCCACAAGTAAAATGGGTTTTGGGGGTTTTTAAATGATTGAGCGTTTAGAACCAGAAAACGTAGGGCATGAAAGGTTCTAAAGTCTGAACTATTTAAGGAACATATTAGCTGCCCTGTGTGTGCCTGCGTTGGCTATTTGGATTAGGAATGTTCAGTATGCATATGCCTCTCCTTTCCAGAAATTCTATCTCTGAAGAAATTATGCTCTGTGGGTCAAAAGATGTTCTCAAGACTGACGTCAGGCCATTCCTGAGTACTAACACGCGAGCAATCGTATTTCAGAGAGAAAAAGTATGGTCGCCCTCACCAGAAGAATATATATTGACTGAATGGCTGCATATTTATTATCACATTATTTATTTATTGTGTTATTTATTTTCCTTATAACTATGATAAATATTCACCTAAGAACATATTAGCGATGTCATATCTGTAAAGTATTATATGTAACACTCCAAAGTTGTATATTCTAAGCAAAGCTCCCGGTGGATTGCTAGTCCTACTGTGCCTTCTAGCTTCGTTTTTCCGGCAGAACTGCCAGTGCACATAGCAGAATTCTTAATGACTTAAGCTAACACTTCCAATAACACTTTCATACCCTAAAACAAAACAACAACAACAACAACAACAAAAATCCACCAAAATGAAAACTTGACTGCTCCCATAACCAGGAGTGACAGCATACATCAACTGTCCAGGGACACAGAAACTACGAGGCTGATCTTTTGTGCTTATTAGACAGGAAAGTTGGGGACAGCAGACAGGGAGATGGCCCTGGCCAAGACATGCAGAATCAGCAGAGTCCTCTCTTAGTCTCTCAGCACAACAGCACGGAGTGGAGGAACGCTTGCAGCCCTGCCCCTGAACGGGAAGGGGGACTCCAGGGATGACCAAAACCAAAGCCTGACCCTCAGACGCATCCAAGGGCAGCTGGTACATCTGCTGGGACACAGGTTACCGAAGCAGCGCTTGAGAGAAAGCTGTCACCGATGAGCTGGGAGGCTTTAGAAGTGGCTGTGCATGCTGTGTGTTTGGGAGCTGATCTTCTGTGGTCTGTTTACGTGTACAATGACACTCCTGAAAAGTGAGATGCCTTAAACATAGTTCAAACCAAGACGCTCTATGTGCTAAGTGGGAGAGAATACCTTGGAGGTGTTCTTAGTCGGAAGTTCGAATCAGCCACAGGTAATTCCTTCCTTTCTTCTTTTCTTTTCTGGGTTGGGATTATAACTGAGCACTTTGTACATTCTGGGCAAATAACTCTACCAGAGCGATACCCCAGGCACCTAAGCACAGGTCCTAAAGAAACAACTGGCTTCTCTTGAAATGAAGCAGTCAGAGTGTATGACCTGGGTCAACAGAGGAGTCTCAGTTTACCAAGTCTCTTAAGCCAAATGCTGAATGCCAAGCTAATGCTGTCCCATGACTCAAAACACTCCATCTTGCAGACTTTACTAGAGCATCGGAAAGAAAGCAGCAAAGTCACAGGACTCTGTAAGATCAAAATGCTCCAGATTCTTATTGCAAAGATGAGGAAACTGGGACTTAAGTGGATTGCACAGCTATAGAAAGTGACCACTGTTTCTTCCAGGTAACTCAACTAGTTAAGAAAAAGCTGGCTCATAGCTGGCCTTCTGCCTGCTAACCTGCCCCCACTACATCAAACAGACCCCACTGACTTTCCAGGGGAGGAAGGCAGTAGCCTTTGCTGACGCTCCACCCTCTCCTCCAACTCCCTAGGAAGCCCTGCTTTCCCCCATCTTCCCTGGAGTGCTGTGTTTGTGGTGAAGAATTCACTCTCATGCGCACAGAGGCCATGAATGCTGACTGCTTTCTAAGAAGGCACAGGAAGGCAGCTCTCTGAAAAGAACTGAGGAAACACTTCGTGAAAATAATGTGAAGGACTCTGTTAGTAAGGCACAAGTGAAGAAGGGAGGAGGAGAAAGCCCTTCTGTTTGTCCTTCTTGAGCAAACACTGTCTGCCAACAGAGATGGTCTCATCACTCACCATGGAACCAGGGAGCAATGGTGTCTGAGTTTTTCTTGTAACCTGCACGGAGTGGCAGTTGTTCCTCTTTGAACCATCGGATGATGTCCTCCTGGGTGGAGCTGGACTCTGTCCTTGCCACTCCCTGATTCCTGTGATGGGTAAGATGATTCTCAAGTTAGTGCTAACTCATTGGAAATCATGTCCTCCATGTCTTGCTCCTCCAGCAGATGGGAACATACACAGAGACCCCACAGCCAGACAACATTCAGAGGTCTTGGAACACTCAGCCATAAATGTCTTCATCAAATCCCAACCCTCAGGGCTCAGGAAGCCGTGTGGACAAGCACATGGGAAGAGTGTAATAGCTAGGGGGTGTGGATGACACCAATAAAAGTGTCTTTTAGACTGACACACACATGAACTCAGAGGCTGTGGCCTCACGCACAGGGTTTGCACATCAGAGGCTGTGACCACACTTATAGGGCTTGCACACCAGAGACTGTGGCTGCACGCACAGGGCTTACACAGGACTGAGTCAGTTGGGATCCAGTGCTGAGAAGGGGAAGTAGACATGAGCCCCGTTCCTAATCCAGACCAACTGGTGACCACTCATTGTGGAAAAAAAATCAATTTTCTGCTTGGGTGTACAAACCACACTTAAAGGAGGCCCATGCCAGCATAAGTGCCCACACAAAGTGAATTCAACGGTGTTTCAGGAATACATTATTTTTGTCTTATAATGCTGTTGGGGAGCATTTTTCAATCTCACTGGTATCAATATACTTTTGATTGTATATTATGATTTCCAATTTTGTATTTTTATGGGTTTTATTTTTTTGTGTTTGTCTTATACTTTTTCACTGTTTATTTTTTATAAATTCTGGATTGTTTGCTTTTCTATCTGCCTGCTTATTTTCTAAAGAAAGAGAGAAAGAAAGTATAGAGTTGGATGGGTGGAGATGTGGGAAGGACCTGGGAGGAAATGAGGGAGAGGAAGCTCTGACCAGAATATATTGTATACATTTTTAATAAAAAAATAAATGGTAATTTATGATAATCTGATTATAAATGTGATAGTTTTATCTGTGCTAAAGGAGAATTAAAGTTTTGACTGCAATTTAAGGGAAAAACAAAGATCCATTATATATGTGTATAGCCTCACATACATACACATGTATGTGAACATGTATATGTGGTGTATACATATATATATACGCACATACAAACTGGTCTACATCAATTCAAGCACTGGAAGACTGGAAATGTTCAAAGAAAAAATTTCTACTATACTAAGGCATTTTTGCTTGTTCTTAATCCCCAAGCAATGCTGTATTTACTTATTTACACAGCACTTACATGATATTAGTCACTGCAAGTAACGTGGGCATTATTTAAAGTACAGGCAGGCTGTATTTGCACACATTACATGCAAATATTGCACCATTTTATACAAGGAGCTTGAGCATCCTTCACATTTTGGTCTCTTTAAGGGATCTTGGGAATTGTCCCCATAGATACTGAGGGGACAACTTTATACAGAAAGGGAGAGGGGAGAGGTAAGAAGGAAGAGTGGATGAGAAGGGGAGAGAGAGAGAGGGAGAAGAGAAGGGAGGAAGAGGTGAGAGAAGAGAATTATATGCATTTCTATTTTCAACATCTAATCACAAAGCAGAGCTAATGGGTAGGTTGGGCCCCCTACGTGCCACCATTATATGGTTCTTCAAGATCAGAGGAAGGGAAACACATTCATCTGTCTGGGCCTAAAGAACCAGTCAAAGCAATAACCACTACTGTGTTAGCTTCAAATTCACTTTACTATGGGTTAGAAGACCCACTAACTCCCAATTATCATTTGAGAAAAGAAACACTCAGAAGTCAAAGCTATTTTCCTGGAAAGACCGGACGTGCAAACAAAGACAAAAACATGGAATGAGGTAGCTGCCTCCCTCGCTTGTTTATGACTTGCTTTTCCACTTCTTTCTGGGCTTCTGCTCACCTCTCCCACTTTAAGGAGGTTCATTTCTCGGAAGAGATGCTCCTGAGAGAAGAAGATAAAGGGAATATGTCTGCAGACCAGGGAAGGAAGAGAAGCAACAGCACCATCTTGGAATGAACTCAGCATCAGAACTATCAGCACGGGGTTCTAGGGTGGGTGCGCTCCACTACAGAAGGATCAGAACTATCAGCACGGGGTTCTAGGGTGG